GGAAATACCTACTGTTAATCAATCCAGATCATGGTTTTAGACAAATTGTTTTATTCCTAGTCTTTTTCAAGCATGCTCTCCAAATTTGAATTTGGTGGCTCACTTCACACCATTATATATAAAAATATTAACTGTAATTACTCAACAAACTTTTTTGGCAGTCCCAATAATTAAATCTAGTAACTTTTGAAAGACAATAAAAATGTCATTTATGACAATGTCTATCAGAGATGGGAATCTAAAATATTAAATGAAGATAAGATATAAAATAATATAATTTAAATTTTAATAAAAATTATATATAATTTAATAAAATAAAATATATATTTTATATTTTAATATTAATATGAATTATAATATATAATTTTTATATAAAATAAAATAAAATATATTAATTATCACCTTATAAGAACATAAATTACCGTATCAAAATCAATTGAAAATGTAGCACAAAAAAAAAATCAATTGAAAGTGAAAAAGGGAGAATTCCAAAACGGGGTAATAAAGCCAAATTATTCAGGTGTCGTTCTTAATACTTTTACTAATTATTTTTTCAAACAAATAATGAAAATTAAAATAATGACAATGAGATTAAATAGTAAAAAGGACAGATTCTATTGTCTCCTTTTTAGTGAACTTTAAAATATTCTCCTTTTTTTTTTGTCATTTTCTACTTTAATTTCTGCAGTTCTTTAATCTTTGAAAAATAAAATCCAAAACTTCATGAATTTTTTTTTTAAAATGAATATCAAACTTAACATTCTACCTCCAGTTTTTGAACTAATTTTCATCTTTAAAAATAAAAAATATTGGAGTTCATGCTCGATCAATTTTGGAGTTGTTATTTTTTTATTAAAATCAAAGATTTTATTAGATTTTAATGCGATGAAAATGTTTGAAATTAAAAATAATTTTCAATCTACATATAGTACTAGAAGTTTCGAATGAAAAATATTATCAATATATATTCTATAAATATTTGCTATAAGAGACTATTGTAAATGAAGTCATTTTTAGTCAAAAATAAGAAATTTATTTTTGAGTCGATTAGACATGTTGCAACTTCAAAGTTGAAATTTGACTTGTCCACCATCTTAGGCAAGATTTTTCAACCTCGAGTGGAAGGCTTAAGAGGATGTTTTAATGTTAAGAAATTATTTTATTTATTTTTAAATATATTTAATAATATTAAATTTTAATATAATTTTTTAAATATATAATATTAAAGTTAAATTAAATAGATTTAAATAGACTTCTATTGATGAAAATGGTTGAGTCTTGGACAAAGGTTTTGAGGTGCTTAACCTGAATCATGGACACTTCTAATTAAATCAAGACTAATTATACACCAATATTTTTTAAAAATTAGATTGGGGGGTGAATCAATAGAGTGCTCAATCCACTTACAATTAGAGAGGTAATCGATTAAGTTTGAATCAATATAGCATTAAATTAAAACTCAAGCTTGATTTCAAATTCAAAATTTAAAACTTTGTTTGAACTTTATCAAAATTTATTTTTTTAGCTTAAACTCGATTTAAGATAAAAATTGAGTTACTTGAATTTGTTTGATTAAGCTCGATTAATATGTAAAAATAAATTAGATAAACTCGATTATTTGAACTCGAGCTTGGGTGAGTTTAAGATATTTATTAATTAAAATAATTAAAATATATTAAAATATAAAAGTTCGATTATGTTCGTAAGCTATTCAAGTCAAATATAAGCATGTTTGAATTCATCTCGCTTGATAAGTTGAACTATTCAAGTTCAAACTCGATTTAATAATAATTGAGCCAAATTCAAATTTTATTCTAGTCAAATCTAAATAACTTACGAGTATAATATATCACTTACATTCTTACTTACAATTTCAATTAAAAATAGTTGTTATTGTTGTGTTAGCTCAGGCATAAATATATAATCTAAAAGTAAGAGAATTCATTTAACTCCAAATCTTTGTAAAATTAAGTTTTAATGAATAGCACTGAGAAAATAGCAATAGATTGTAATTATTGTATACGATTATAGTAGAATAGGATATTATAATATTACGAATAAAATTAAATAAAATAATATCATCTATTTTTATGTTTGATGTATGAAATGATTAAGATATGATAATTTTATTTATTGATCAAAATTATTATTTTTTAAAATTTATACAATTAAAATAATTGATATAATTTTTAAATATATAATAAAACATATAAGTTCAATTCTATGAATTAAAAATAATCCTCTCAACTTTTGAAGGATTGAGTTATCTTATACTTAGAAGATAATTAATACATCTCGTAATCCTATCTTTTTTTTAGATACAAAATCAAACATGTTAAAAAATGATAATCATCTTATTCTATCAATCATCCTATACACCACACATAACCTATAATAATTATATATGAAATTTTAAAGGTAATATCATGAATGATCCTTAAATTATAATGAAATATTTAATATGGTACTTAAATTTAAAATTTTTTTAATGTAATATTTAAACTATGATTAATTATGTGGTATTCATCTTTAATGTTGCTAATTTTAAACGATGATACATAATAGACAAATAATCATATAAATACTATCTTAGTTAATAAATTTATAATTGATGTGTCATATTAAAAATTTTTAAAATTTAAATACTACATTAAAAATTTTATCATAATTTAAGAATAATTCATGACATTAACTTAAAATTTAAATGCAAATGAATTTAAAATTATAAAAAAAATGCTTAATTTAAGATTATCAGTTTAAAGTGATACTCATTTTAGTATCAAATATATATATTTTTATCTTAATAAAGATTAAAGGTTGTCTATTTGTAATATTTAATAATTTAAAGGAAAAAAATTGATGAAACGGACATGCCTTAAGATAGCATCATGGGTTTAATGTCATGTTGATATGACTTTTTCTTTTTTCCTGATTTGACTATCAATGTGAGATAAATATTTTTCTACTCGTTAAAACAAAAATTATGGCTTAATTTTTCATGTATTAAACATCTCTCACTCCTTGTTCAATTAGTTAAAAAGGAAAAAAAATCATCGCTCACTCCTTGTTAATTTTTCAAATATTAACCACCGTTTACCCTCTTTCTATCTAACTTAAAAAGGAAGAAAAATCATATTTCAATGGCCAAAAAATAAATCCATTTCAGTGAAATTTGGTTTAATTAGTTATCGCCATGACGGTAGGCTCTCAATAATTTGGGTCAATTTCCCCATTTTGAAATTCTTTCCATACTTTTTGCTTTTGTCCCAGTTACCCATGTAAACTTTTTAATCCAACGATTCCTATGTATCCTGCCGAATCTAACGGCTCGTGATGACAAGATCTCATTTGCATTAATGAGCCGTACGTACGGTTTGCGTAATAAAGATGAACCATCGGTCCGTTGATTGAACTGGTATTGAAAAATAAAAAACCAACTTAATCAGATTTTTTAAAGAATATAATAAAAATCAATATACATTTTTTTAATAATTAAAAATATCTAATCAACATAACAACAGTTAATTTGATCGATTTTGATGGATTTGATAGAAAAAAATTGATTTTTTTATCGTCAATTTTAAATAATAATTTTACAATAATTTTTACCAAGTGAAATTACTGACCTTATAACATTATATATATCATTTTTAAAACCAAATAAAAATATTTTTAAGACCTATTTTTCTATATTTTAAAAATTTTATTAAAAATATGGTTAAACCATTTTCTTTTAACTCATCATTATTTGAACTGAACCAATCAAACTGATTGAACTTCTTTTTCCACCTCAACTATGTTGGGGCCATGGGATTGGAAAACAGGTTAGGACTTAGGGCAGGGAAAGTGTGGACCATTGCCAACTCTAGGGTTTGATTTGTTGAGTTTTATTTAATGCGGCTTAGCCCAAGGTTTTCAATGAAGGGCATTAAAACGAGGGGTGGTTTAAAGCTCAAAGTCAATTAAATTAATCAAAGTTTTATGATTTCTACATGGCTCGGTCATTATTATTGTCAAACATTTACTTTAAAATCATTTGACAATATGCCAAAAAATTCGATTTAAATATAAAATCACAAAAAAATATAAAATTTAACATCACTTAAGAAGTATTTTTAGTAAACAACTGAAACAATTAAACAAGATAATTGAATAAATCTGAGTTTTAATATTAGGTTAAATTAATAACCTAAGTATTTAACTTAAAATTAAAAATTCGTAATTAAAAGATGTGAGTAATAGTGTAACAAATTGAATATGAATGAAAATATGTTTAAAGTTTATTTATTTTTAAAATTATTTGGGATTGATTCGAATTTGATTAAAAAATATTTATTATGTTCGAATTTAATTTATTTAAATAATAAAATATTCACATTCAATTTATATTTGACTCATTTAAATTAAATAAATTCATTTGTAAATATGAAAATGATTCTCAAAAATCAAAAGAAAAAAAAATCCCCCTTCCAAGGAACTCAAAAGGCCCAAAGGCAGCCCAAGTTCTCCTTGCAAAATACATTTATACCAATTTCAACCGGTATCAAGAAAAGGTTTTAAATTTTTGTGGGTTTAGATTTAAGTCATATTGTTTAATTATATTTTAATTTATTAATTAATTATTCAATGATTTATTAGTTAATTATTTAATTGATTATATAAATATAATATTTGATTATATGAATCTATTTTTTTTAAAAAAAATTATATTCTAAAAAATTCTATGATATTGACAATTATTAAATATAATTAAATTCCTTTTTATCTAAACACTAATCTTATTATTAAATAAGAACTATAACAAACAAAAATTACTTTAAAATTGAAATTTAGAAATTTAATGAACAAAAATATCTATTTTTAATTTTAAAAGTAACAAAACTGGTAATTTAATTATCACCATAAATATGTAGACTACAAAAAATAATCTTAAATTTTAAACTAACAATGTTCTAAGCTCCAAGTTCTATCATTTGTACCATATAATAGTACCTAACTATCTTCATGCAAAAAACTTCATGTAAAATGACAATGCATATACGATCACAAATCACTATATCAATATTTTAGCATTAAAATGCGGAGATTCCCCAATATCAAATACCACCATTTAGTATGTACAAAAAATTTTATGGAATCTAACAGTAGAGAATTAAATGGTGTTCAAATTAAAACTGGGCAAAAGTTGATAAATGACATGTATTTCAACTCTGACTTCCTTAACTATTGTCATCAGGTTACACATTTGAACAAAAGCAGCATATCCAAAGCAAACCAAGTTATTTTCCTGACTAGGAAGCTCCAATTTGAAATGTGGATCTTGGATAAACCTAGTGCCATCACATAGCCTGTCTGTAGCCAAGCTGGCCAGGACGCCATCTTCCATCTGGTTTCCTTCTCTTCATGGGTGTGGCAGGCAAAGAAACTGGTTGAAAAGGCTTCATTTGCTCTTCCATCAGCGAATTTCCTGGAGGAACAAACTGTGGCCTTACATTTTCTCCCATGCTTCTATTCTCAAAAGTCACCCCATTATTAAGATCAAAACCAGGTCTTATGATTGCAATGCTGTTCGGCCTTGGCCCATCAGGAATCTGCAAGAAACTTGTGTACCCAGAAAAGGCAGGAAGAGTGCCTGAATCTACTAACTGCTGAAAGACAGTGGGTCTATTTTGGTCTGTTATGCATGGAATGACACCGGGAATCCTTCCAGCTGAGGATAAATAGTCACTAGGCTCAATGCAGCATCCATTACCGTATGGGAAAGCAAAAGTCGGTTGCAGTGGCGGATTTGTTCTACAAGATGCCCTGTCGTGAAGAGGAACTATCTCCTGCATTTGTTCAGCTGTGGGAAGCACATTGCTAACAGCCAAAAGAAATGGTCCAGCGTTACCGTGGCTAAAGACCTGCATGGGACCTGGATCAGACCGGTATGCTGATCCTAGGTTATTAAATCTCTGTTGCCCTGCATTTCCTAGGAAAGAAACAGCAGGAATATCTAAAGCTCGATCTCCTGATCCTAGGGTGCACTGACTTGGCTGGTCACTATTACTACATGCATCTTGACATGTAGGGTTATCATTCAAATCAAAATCCTGAATAGTGTTCCTTGATGATGTTGGTGGAGCCATTTGAAAACAATTGTCATCATATTCATTAGCAAAATTGAGGTCAATGTTCAACCTTTCTGCTTGAGTTAAACTAACCTCCACCAACGAAGTTTTAGAAGGCAAACTTGATTCTGGGACACATTTCTCTTGGAGCAATTCCATATCAAAATCGACTGTAGCAGCAGCAATGTTAAGGTCAAACCCTTTAACCTGTAAACCTTTTGACCAGTAGCCATTGTCATTAGCAGATGGTGCCTGAATCCCCTTAAAATTCTTAGAAAGAGAAGTTGGACTGAATGCACTTGTCGCAGAAGGTCCCTTCCAACCTACTGCATCTTCCAATTGAAATCGGGACAGAGGTAAATAGACAGGAATCCCAGATTTAGCCATTGCAGGTGTTGGCTTTGAGACATTGTATACATGATAAGTAGCAGTTTCATCAACCAACTGCTCGGTGCATTTAACTTCATCAGCCACAATATCTGCATTAAGATCGACTTGAAAGGGTTGAACAATTCTCTCATTGGCAGCTAGATCATCAGAGATAGCAATTATGCTAGATGATTCCTGTCTGCAATTAGCTGCACACGTTATTGTGGATCTTAAGTCAAGTGAGGACTCAACAATATCTAAGTGCATCTGTTGCTCTGCCATTAATGTTTCTTGATCCACTACCTCTTTATTGGAATGGAAACTATTGTAATTATCTCGTTCAGCACAGGACGGGATTTCACCTCCAGTTTTTGTAACATAATTTTCCTTATCTAGAGCCAGAGAATCAGCATTCAAATGAACAATTTCACAACTTCCCCCTAGCACACAAGATGAGTTTCTTGAGGCCTGCCTATCTAGCTCAACCTCTTGCTCCACTTCCCTTGCAACCCTCCTTGCTACCTCAAGTGCATCATCCAGCTCATAGCAATGCTCTGCCTTATCTTGATTAAGAGGACCTGCATACTCAGTCATAGGCAGACTGGATTTCAGAATATCATCTCTCTCTACAATGACAGACCTATGATCTGTGATTACTCCCAACAGCCTGTCACCACTTGCTCTAACATTGTCAGAAGCTTCTAGAACACTATCCAAATTGTTCATTTTTCCCGGTAAAAGATTGGTACCCAACACATCTCTACAACAATTTTGCATAGCCAAATCCAATGTGGAACTACTTGCTGCAGGCTCCTTTGATCTGCACTTTAAGCCGGTACAAATGGAAGTATCAGTGATATCAGTTTGGCAACATTTTGATGGCTTGTCATCCACTGATGTTTCCTCGCAGCTGTCATTTGAAGAAGCTGGAAAGATTGCACGTGTAAAGTTAGAGGAGGAAGACTCTGTTTTCAGCTGCTTGTTATGGTAAGTACCCTGCACAATGGACTTCAATCTATTTTCCTCAGCGTTTAGCCAAGCTGTCCTTCCATCTGACAACTCATTTTCATGCTTGTCAGGGGTTTCTCCAGCCTCAGAGCTAGTATCATTCTTCATGGAAATGTTATGCGAACAATTAATAGCTACCATGGAGTGTGAAGATATATCAGCATCCTTTGAATTTCTTTCATTTGCAAGAACATTACATGGAGACATCACCATCACAGTTCCTTTTGCGCAACTTTTATTCATGGAAGCTGAATCACTTACCCATGAAACAACAGAACATGGTGCATTCAAACCATCTGTATTTTGTCTGGCACATCCAGTGGCAGAACCATTATCATAACTCAAACACTTTCTTTCAGTCTCAGGCAACTTTGCAGCTTTACAACTCTTAGTTTCATGATCATGATATGGCCTTTTCTTTTCAAATCTAGCAATTTCATCAGGAAATGTTCCAAGGCCAGATAAGCTACTTGCCCTCAGTTGAACGTCTTGCAGCGCAGAACACTTGAAGTGCTGGATATCCTTTTCAATTCCACATGCTTCTAGATCATTCTTGTCCATCAGTAGCCTAAAGAATACACAAACCAATTAATGTCACTGATAAATATCACCAAAGCAGTAGTTTAACAACCATCAACTTTAGCAGAAGTTAAATCAAACGATTATTGTCCAAAGAGAATTCAAACGCCAATATCAAAAGAGCCTTGAACAACCAAGCAACATGTCATAACAAGAAGCTGAAAACTAGTAGATTTGCTAGATATAATATTTCAAAGTCCGCAAATCTTTTTGTGGAGAGATCCATCTTAACAGCCCCTACAAAGGTCAGAAAGCTTTTCGGTTGTTTCAGTAGGCAATTAATTCCCAAAAAAGAATGCAACTCCAAATTAGTAATATTGAAAACAATTCAGTCATCTATAGACTAAATTCAAGTCATTTATCTAAAATCTATAGCTTTCAATTCAATGAATATATAGAGAACTTCATTTAGATAAATTAAGTGAAAGATGGCTAGAGGTAACGTGCTCAAAATGAAAACTACACACTTATCCCTTTAAGTAAAAGGTTAAGAAGAAGCACCATGCAACTAACAAATTCCACAGAAGGAGAAGCTGAAATCATTGACTACTTTAACTATCTTTAACATCGATGCACATACATAACTAAACAAGACAAGCACCTAAACTAATGGGCTAAGTTAAGACATTGTTTAACACCAAAAATGATCTAATCATATTTCCTAAAAGAACAATTAGAATCGCCCACATAAAGGCTTCCATCTTAAGATAGCACCCCAACAAGAAACAAAAGACAAAGCCTTTCTCCATAATGTTGGCCAGCTACAAGGATCAGATTACACAATCGTTGCTCCATTTAAGACCATATCCTGAGCAAGATCACTAGCAGCAAGGTCCATTTTTATTCTTTTGTGATGTCTTCTGTTGTCTCTAAGATAGCATTATACCAACTAGCAGTAAAATATTATTAATGTCCATTGCCTATTTATTATGACAATTGGATTTTACTAGAGAGAATGTCAATCAATTGCATTTAACTATGGCACTGTTTTAACATCAATAATTTCAAAGAAATTGATCCTCAATTTTACAGTTTAACATAATCATTCAACCAGGCCTCATTATAGGGTCTTTAGAAGATAAACTAACAAGATAATATAAATTGCTAAAACACTTTACAGCATTAAAAAAGTCAGAAACATTTCAAGAAACATGGATACTAATACGGAAAGTTCCCTTTCAAATACAATTTATATAAAGTAAAAAAAAATGATAACATAGTAAGAGATGTGGACTAATAGGGTAAAAATAACGTTTCAAATGTTCTGCAACAGCATACAAAGAATGCCATAAGATTAGAAAGATGGAATAACATACAGCAATAAGCATACCATCATTATTCTAAAAAATTTTCAGCTTATAGTTACAATAATGATAGACTATGGCCAAAAATGCTCTCCATAATTTATCCAAAAAGTCTCCTGCACAATCCAAATTGTCACCCTGGTTTTATTCTTGCATCTTGAATTTTGAGCTCTGTAGGATACAATAAAATCTCAATTAAACTCTCTCGCATAGGTTGAAGTTTCACATCTTAGAAACTAAAACACAAAGGATGAGAGTGAGACTCTATCCATCTACATTTCTCCATTTTCTTCGTACCAAAACAAAGCTAATGGGATAAACAATCACAAAACCATAGCCTGACGCCCCGTCATGACCTGCAAACTATAACTCTAACTAAGTAAAAATAGCAAAACATTCAATGTGAAAAGGAATTGCACCAAAGCCTGAATAAAGAACAGACAATAAACTTCAATATCAACAAAACTTTAAATCGCATTGTCACCAGTTTCAGAGGAAGAGAATAAAGCCACCATCATTGTCCTATGAGATTTTAAATGGAAAAAACTATCTAAAATGTTCAAAATAAATGATAATGCCATATTGTTACCAAGTCAATGCAACTCCAAGTTATAGATCTTACATCAGTAAAACCCAGGGAAAGAAACTAAAACTGAGAAAAGGGTCTAGGAAATTTCTTAAAAAAAAAGATGAAAAATGTCCATTAGACCAAAAAATCTACTACTTAACACCTTTTCCTCGATATTCTCGAGAACCAAACAGAAAGTCAGACCAAAAGCAAGTGAAAGATAGCCAACCCACGCATAAACCAACTGGAAACAAGCTCTTACCAATTCCGTATTACGATTGAAGAACACAAAAACTCCAAAACCTTTTAAAGATGCAAGATATAAAGATTTACGAAAGCAAAGCAAACAAACCAACCTGGCGCTGTTGTTCAACGACAAGACCTAATCGTATTGGAAAGCTTTATGTGGAATAGTGAGGACAGGGTTTTTCATAGAAAGAAAGACCCATTAACAAGTGTCCCTTTCTCTCTGGAGCTTTGCTTTGCTCTCTTTCTCTTTCTCTTCTTCTCACTCAAAAGAGAAAAAAGAAAACAGAAGAAAAGAAGGACCAGCCAACCACCTCCAAAACGGATCCCCAGTTCTCTCTCTTCCCCCAACACATGAGAGATACAGTCACATGACACACCAAAAGAAAAATAAAAAAGGAGTGAGGAGAGAGATGGCCGGGCCAAGGGGGAGGACTGAGGAGGAGAGTAAGACAAAACAGACAAGAGGTTTGTAATGGGACCTCTGGTGATTGTGTCATTCTTCACTGATGAAGGTGGGCCCTACAATACCACAATGTCCAGCTGGGTCCCCCCTATCTGTCTATGGTTGCTGTCGCTTGCTCAGACTCCCCGAGTGTCGTTCATTCTTGTTATTTATTTTGTCCCCTCCCCTCCTTCGAAATTGTTTCCTACGTTCGTGGGAATAAATGTATGGTTTTTTTGTTTTAAAACAAATTAGAGGAGACATTTTAGTAGATGTAACATGTAAAATTTTAAATTTTGTATAATTATATTATATTTTATATAAAAATTAAGTATTATAATTTATATTAATATTAAAATATAAATTTTTTTTTAAAATATATATAATTATTATTAAAAATTTTACATTATATTATTTTAATATTTATTTTATGTATTATACTCATATCATATTATCTTATCATATATGAAATTATTAAATCTATTTTACCAAACCAAAGCAATTGTTAGATTTTTAAAAAAATTATATTACGTTTAGAAACCTTTTATCAAGATAAATTGTTGATAATAAAAATCATACTTAAAATTTATAAATTTGAGTTGAATTGACGAATTCATCTTATTAGTTAGCTTTTGACATTTTAGCATTATAAATGTTCATATTTTTTAAAACGATTCCATCAATCAATCAATGAATGGTTACCAGAAGCTAAGATTATAAATTAAAATTTTATTTTACAAAAAGCCTGATTTTGGTATCTGTCATCATAGATAAATAAAATTCAGCCTTCCACTGTAGGGGATTGTGTTTTAAAAGAATTGCAATTGAAATCCAACATGACAGAATCCTTGGTAATGCATTCCCATTCTGAATGTAATTGGAAAAGAAACTAAACTTAAGCATATAACTACTTGGGCGTTTTATCAGCAGATGTAGGAGCCTTTCTAACAGATGTAGCAGACTTTCCTGATTCCTCATTTTCAACAAGCTTGCGGAGTCTCTCTTGAAGAGCTCGCACTCTGTCCTCAGTTTTCCGAAGTTTTCTCCATCTATACATTGTCCAAAGTGCCAAACCACCATAAACAAGTGTATAGGATGCCCACACATAAGGATAAGTTTCAGCATGCTCCTTCATTTTCTGATATCGTTCCTGCACCAGTTCCAATAAGGTAGCTGGTGGAGTACTTGTGGTTTCCTGAGATCCTTCTCCTTCTTGCTGAGTCGCCATTTTTGGCCTTTTATGCTATCAAAACCTGCTAAGTGAGCAAATGGCAGAATGAAGGTTTTAGATGTTATGTAGCAAATACAATACGATAACATAAAAACAAAAGAACATGAAGAGAAAGCAGAACTTTTAACCTGGTTCCAGGAATAGGGGAGTTACAATGTTTAAAATAACCTGATATGGCATTTAAAATATACACATTCACAATCAAATGCATACTCTGTTATAATCAAGAGTTCAACAACTACTTGGCAGGATATCTTAACAACTTAAGAGAGAAAACTAGATGGCACATTTTAAGTACAGACTAGATATACAATCAAAACCAATAGAACCATTATAACTAAACTAATGACAACATCAAATCCCTTAAAAAAAACTGGATCAATTTAAAAATCTCTTTCAAGTTTTATTAGGTAAAGTCCATTCAGCGACACGTATAACATATTGCAGTTTACCAATGGAATGTCAAATACCAACAGCTGGAACATAAGTAATAGAGTGTGGACTCACCCTGCATTATGAATAAATTCTTTCGGAGTTGAAATTCCAAAATAAAAAAAGACTAAGGAGCGTTTGGTTTGCGGAATCTTGTATTCCAGGAGAAAGTGTAATACCCAGGAAATTTTGATATTTGAGGTTTTGTTTGATTTTTCAGGGCATCTTGTATTCAGATTCATTCATTTGGTTAGGAGGAATCCATGTTTATTAATTCACGTATAATTACTATAATCTCCTTGATAAGCTATAGGCAACCGTTTATTTTGTTTTAATAATAAATACCCAAAACAACAAATGATGCCTTTAGTAGCACAAGAAAACAAAGATTTTAATTGACAAGTTTTATAATTTATAATATAATTTATAAAACATCATCAATTAAGGTGTTTCTTAATATGAACACCTTAATTGACACATTTTATAATTTATAAAATATCATCAAACAAGGCGTTTGTTAACAGGAATGCCTTAATTGACAGTTTTATATTCTTTAAAACATCATCAATTAAGACACTTGTTAATATGAACACCTTAATTGATACATTTCTTATCATTTATAAAACATGAGAAGACATTTGTTAACATGAATATCATCAATTAAGGCCTTTGTTAATATGAACGCCCTAATTGATCTTTTTTTTAATTTATAAAACATGATCAATTAAGGCGTTTGTTATTATGAACGCTTTAATTGATCTATTTTTATAATTTATAAAACATGATGTGTTTGTTAATATGAATGCCTTAATTGATGTATATATATTTTTTAAAACAAGATCAATAAAGGCTTTCATGAATGCCTTAATTGATATATATATATATATTTAAAACATCATCAATTAAGGCATTTGTTAATATGAACGCCTTTTTTAAAACATCGATTAGACATTACAACATGGAAGAACAATTAGAGCACGGTCTTCAAAAGGGAATACAAATTTAAAAATGTGGCAATTATGGAGTTTCATGGAAGAAACGCCGTAATTGATAATCAATTAAGGCGTTTTTCCAATGAAACACCCTAATAGCCCCATGAATCTATTTAATGCCTTAAGCACCAACTAAGACGTATGTAAAACAAAAGAGCCGTAATTGAATTAAAAAATAAAGTAAAACTGAGTTCCACACTTGTTTTTAAAAAAGGTAACACATCTGTGACAAAATTTCTATTCAGGTCAAATTTGAAAAGATGGACAACTTTCCCCTAGGAATCTTAAAATACCACAGGGAAAAGTGGATTTCTGATTCTGAGACTTTGGGTATTGTTAGGAATATGATAGTTTCCCCCGTAATCGGATAACCCTGAACTAAACGTGGGAAACAAATACCCACCATCAAGATTCTAAAGAAAAATTTGTGGATTCCCCCGAAACAAATGCACTCTAAGAAATTAACACAGTAAAGCTGTGACAGCCACGTTCAGAGCAAATGAAGAACAAAAAGAAGTCAAATGGATAGATGATAGAGATGATTGTTGTATTAGTGGGACAATTAATTTGCAACCAAATACAGTTTAATGCTATAGTGGGGGGTTTTATGAGCTACGGGAAAAGGATAAGAAATTAGCTGAGTAAGGCTGTGACATATTCAAAGCAAAATAAGAAAAAAGAAAAAAAAAAAAGAACTTCGGACAGATGATTTTTGTATTAGTGAAACAATGCTTCATTATCAAATACGGTTTAATGCTATAATGAGGGGGTTTTATGTGCCACAGACAAAGGCACAACATCCTAAATTCCTCAAATTGCACGAGGGATGATGCAAATACAGAAAAAATAAAGAGAACTGCATTACCTAATGTATTACAAAGATTATGCATAATCTAATATCTATCATAATTAATCAGAGTATCATCAAAGTTTCCTTCACTTTGGCTCTGAGTTTTTGTACATTTAACAGTAACACACGAATAGGATTTAATCTGCTGTACATTTGAACTGGTTAACATAAGCATAGCATCCATATGACTAGGAATGATAGGATATTTTGTTTTCAGTTCCTGTGGAAAGTGAAGAATCCTCAAGAGTTAATCAAACACAATTCCAAACTATCAAAACGACCCAATTAAAACCTCCCTAAAGTGGCAATGACATGTGCAGCATTCAAAGTCTCATTCTTTTTTTGTTTCTTTATTCGACTTTGGAAATTAATTTCCATTAACCATATCAGTTTCCTATCTCCATTTTCCAACGTTGTTCAGAAAATAGAGAAAAGGAAAACAAGTCCAGCAGAGTATTTTTGGTCTTTACAACATAAGTTTCAAGTAAACAAGAGCCATAACACAAAGAAGACCTCAAGATGGAGTAATGGCAGAAGCTAAAGACAGATATATTGGAATAAATGACGAAATCTAAACTGGGTTTTCTTCAGATTTGAAGGAAAACTTCGAAAAGATACCCAAAATGGAGATAAATTCATATATAAAATAATGGAAACAAAGAAAAAAGAGATTCTGTTCATATCATAAGGAAATCGATGCAACAAAGAAGTTTTACAATCAAGTAAAAAAGCATTACCTTTACACCAGGCAACCTATAAGAGTGGAGGTCGTCGTAAGGAGAGGCGGGAGTCGACCACGGAAACGTAAGCCGGAAGTTGACCACGATATAGACCACCAGCGCTATCAAAGTGGTGGAAATGGAATAACAAGGATTGAGGGTTTAGGGTTTTAATAACTCTCTTAATCGAACGATTATAAATGGACCCTTAAAGATCTAAAGTCCAATTTGTGCGGAAATAAATGACGATTTAAATGGGCTTGAATCCAGTAAATGCCGAAATTTAAAAAAAAAAAAATTTAGTTTGATTTGCTGCTTGATAAACCGAACAAATTCAATCATGAATTTAAGCATTAAATTTGAAATATGATAATTATTTGATATATTAATGAAAATGAAAATTAAATATTTAGTCAATTTTTTATTATTTTTATAAAATAAAGATACGATTTCATAATTATTTTTAATTAGTAAAATTTAGAAAGGAAAATTATCAAAAAGGGTAAACAAACTCAAACCTCTAAATAAAATAAGAATTGACACAAATCTCCTCCCAAATTTAATTTGATCTTTAAAATTTATATTTGATATACCGATAAAAATTTTTAAATCATTAAAAATTAAAATTTTTAATGGTTTTATTTTTTTTATTGTGCTCGATAAATTATTTTTTAAATCACTTAATGAAAGATTTTTTAAGAAAAAAATGTTACAAATGTCACTACTTAATGTATTAAGCTAATCTTATTTAAGAAAAAATTATTTAATCACATTAATATATTATTTCATTTTAACTATTTATCTTTTCCTTTTTAACTTTTATCAATTAAAAATAAGTATAAAATCATATCATTTATATTAAAAAATAATTAAAAATTTATAAAATATTTAATTTTCAGTATCATAACAAACCACTTTTATATCATACTTTCACTACTTAAATTTAACAAAAAATTCAGTACATATTTTTCAGGACTTAATTTGTTTAATTTATCAAACAAAAAGTTCATTAGTGATTGGATCTCGATACACATTAACAAAATTTTGCCACGTCAGCCAACCTTTGTTTTTTCTTTTTTTTTTACCAGTTAAATCTTTATTAATGCCATAATAATTTATAATGGGTATTGTTAAGAATCTTTAAAATATTATCAATTAACATCACTTTTTTTATATAAAATAAATGTTCCCATCATTTGTTTTTTTAAAAATAAGACCATTCATTCCACACCGTAAACTAGGTTACCAAATTATGCTATAATAAGATGTTCTTTAAGCTGCATTGTAAAGATCCCAATTCCCAAAAAGAGTGGTAGATATTGGATATTGACCATCTAACTGCCTAATAATATATATAAGGATGGAGCATTCCTATAGTATTAGATACAACAAAACAATTCAAATAGGGAAAATAAAAAGAATAAAAAAAATTAAATTTTGATTTAAAATTATAGTATTTGATTTGATTTGAATTATTTTTTTATTTGGTTTTAAATTAAATTTAAATATTAAATGTATATATTAGTTTCGAATTGGATTTCGAATTAAAAGGTAAAAAAAAAATTAAATCAGATCGAATTATATATATTATTAATTTTTATAAAATAAAAATTAATTTTATATTAAAATTTATTTAAATATATTAAAATTTTATATTAAAATAATATATAAAATTTAAAAAATTAAAAATTAAAAATCGATAAGTTGAATCAAATCGAACGATCTCGTTCGGTTTGATTCGTATCGAATAAAAGCTTAAATTAAATTTAAATAAGATTTTAAAATTTATAATATTATATAATATCTGAAAAAATTGAATCGAATCTGATTTAATCATTATCACCCCTAAGATTAATTGGTCATCTTGATCCAAATTTTGTTGTAGATAGGAGCGAAGTTGATTCTATTCGTTTAGGTTCAAAATTTATTATACGTGGGTGAAGTTTAATTTTATGTTCAATATGCTTTATTATGTTATAGTTTGTTATTTAATTTATTTATTAATTATTTAATGATATAATACTTAATTATAATTATAACTTATATATAAGTAATTCACAAAAAAATCATCACCTTGGTTGAACTCACCAGCTTGCTAATTTGTACTTTGCATTGAGGTAAATTGCTTCTGTTGTCATTAGTTAGAATTGTTCAAAATTCAGTTATCATCTTATATTATCTTGAGGTAAATTTTTTAATTTGATTAATTCAACAATAAATTTAATTAATAAATTTATTTAAATTGATTAATAAATAATATTTAATTTTATATAATTTAATTCGAAATTAATCACGTACGTGCACTTATTATAATTTACAAATCTTTCCTTCATTAACAAACAGCAAAGAGTTTTTGCGTTTCTTGTTTCCCAACAACAACAAAGAAAATTCCTGCTCTCGGGATAAGGGAGCTAAGGCCGTTCCGCCCTTTTCATTTACTCTTAAATTCTATATCTTAAAAATATCACTTATAATTATTATAATATAATTAATTAATTATAATTTAAAATCATGTAAAATTCATCAAAATTTTATATGAATCTACACTTATAAATAATAGATCTCAAATAATTTTATTATTATTATTAAACAATTGTAAGAATATTATAAAAATATAGGGGAAATACTTCCAAAATCATCATAATTATCTTTTAACAAAAAGGGAACTAAATAAGATGTAGTTGCCTCCAAATCAGGGGCGTGGCGTAGAAAAACAGCAGAATTACGCTTGAGCCATATTCCCTCACAATCATCCCTTACACAACCAAATTCCAAGACACTCAATCAAATAATTAATATTTGAGTGCATTGAAATCAGCATTCAAAGAGGCAAACCACACCCTAATTGCTAATGGGCATTGAATAAATAAATGATCCATTGTCTCCTCCATCATCTTGTATAATATGCACCAATAGTCAGTCCACGGCATCCCATCATCATCTTAAAAATTTGTAGTTGGAATTTGGCCTCATGCTCAATAAAAAAACAGAATGATGAAAAAAGCAGTGAAAATAATAAAAATAAATAAAAAAAGTAGTTGAATTCTTTTAGATCATTCTTTGTGTTATGTCTTGTGATTAAATTATAATATACAAACATATATGATTATGATTCAAACCGATACTCTAAAATATCATAATTTTGAGTTGAAAACCTCTCTTTAATTCTTTTGAACCGGAAAAAAAAACCCGACTATAATCGTTTAAGTATTTGGTCTCCAACGGTATTCGTATAATAATTCTATAAAATTAATAAATAATTAAAATTTGTACATAAAAATTTTAGATTATTTATCTTTTATAAAATTAATAAATTATTAAATTATTAAAATTTATGTCGAATTATATATTGATTTCTCAAGTTTTTTATTTATTATATTATACTATATTCTTCCCAAATTATTTGAATGGTATTAATTTTTACAGAATTTAAAAAAAGCTTTAATTTTAATGTATTTAATGTTCAAATTAAAATTTTTTTATAAAATTAAAGTTTTATGATTTTTAATGTCAAAAAATTAAAAAAATCATAAAAATATTTTAAAATATAAAAAAATAAGAATTTTAAATGTTCAAAAAAATTTTGAGACATCGAAAAAAATACAAAAAGAAAATGAAAAAGAAAAAGGATTTGATTACTAATTTATTATTTATTTATATTAGAATTTAAAGTTTTTAAGAGGCATTTTAAAAGAATTAATTACTTAAAAAAAATTATCGTAATGCAATTACTCAATCTTATTTTAGCATTATGTAGAGTTCATAAGAAAAATTATATAAAACTCATTTTTAAGTGATAGACTCGTATATAATTTTTTTATTATAGTTAATTAATTATAATATTATAATAAAAAATTTATAAGTAAAATGCTTCGTAAAATAATAATGTGATAATAATAAAATGTTATTTTTTTTAATCTTAAGCTTCTAAATGTATAGTTAAAATTATGTTGAAAGGGTATTAATTTACTTCGAAGAAAAAAAAGGTATTTATAAGGACGAAAATGTCCAAAATACAGTGCAGTGGCTCTTCTCAGGCGGTGGAGAAACGACCATCCATTGGTGCTACGAAGGCACGACGAACCGTGATCCAAACAGCAAGATGTAAATTGCACAAACAAGGTGCTTCATTGCGCCGAACCATGGCTCATGGCATCGATTCAATCCAAGTCAGGCCAAAGGGCATCGGGCTAAAGCTTCTATGGCTTTCTTTCCAACAATGCTTTAGGAGCTGATCTCGAATTTTCTGTTCTTTACAGGTGAAGTTAACAAGGTCAACAAAGGCCTGAAATGCAGCCACGTAGAAAACAACGTGGTCGAGTCAGTGCAAACGCGTCAGTTTCTTGATTGCTCCGTGCAACGTGGACTTTGTTTCTTCAACCTGAAGCTTATCTTTGAATTCTTAAAATCTTCATTTATTTTATACCAAGAACATCTCATAACAACGAGGATCGAGAAAAGATAATGAACATTTTGGCTTTGAGTCTAGTAGTGAGTTCACTGGCAGCTGCAGGAGTATGGTCGCCAACCCCACAAACACAGAGGGAAGAAGCTGTAGTGAAAGAAGGCCATAGAGTAATAGTTGTTGAATATGATGAAGATGGCAAATGTAACACCAAAGTCTCAATCTCATCCCCACCGCTACGGCAGCATACAAAGCGGGGGGAGTGTTTTGGCAAGGAAACTATCAAAGAAGCCGCATCTGCGCTTCCAAACCTTGGCCAAAGTATTTCATGAGGAAAAGCTGGCCCCGGAAGACACTCCCCAGGCGAACCTGTCTGTGATGCTTTTAGGAAATGCACTCACACCATCGCCACTGCCTTTGCTAAAGCCAAAGACAAGGTTTCAGAGACTGCACATGAAGCTAAAGAGAAGGTTAAAGACAAGGTTTGAGAAACCGCACATGAAGCTAAAGAGAAGGTCAAAGACAAGTTTTCAGAGACCGCACATGAAGCTAAATAGAAGGTTTCAGAAACCGCACAAGAAGTTAAAGAGAAGGTTAAGGGTACTGCATATGAAACCAAAGTAAAGGTCGCAGAAACAGCATATCAAACAAAGGGAGCTGTGGGTGATGCTTTAGGCAAAGCAAAAGAGGCCGTAGAACAAAAGGGACAAGATGCCAAAGAAAGCGCGAAAGAGTCCATTGATATGGCCAAGGACACTGCGAAAACAGCAAAAGACACAGCCAAGACGATTGGAAATCATATAGTGACAAATGTATCAGAGCAAGTGGAGAACGCAAGGGAAAAGACCATGGAGCAAGCAAAAGAGGCAAAAGAGAACACAGAACGAGCTGCTACAAAGGTTCAAACTAGTGCAAACAAGCTCTTTGATGGGATGAAGTACATGAGTTCCATGGAGGCATTGAATTCAGTGATGGGTATGGCTGACTTGCTGGGATTAACTACAGCTTATGGGATGAGTGTGTGGGTTACGTTCATTTCGAGCTATGTCTTGGCAGGACTGCTACCAAGACAGCAGTTTGGGACGGTGCAGAGCAAGATATATCCTGTTTACTTCAGGGCTATGGCTTATAGTATAGGGTTGGCATTGTTGGGGCACTTTCTGGGGCAGAGAAAAAGATTGATCTCAAGCAAGCCAGAGTTGTTTCAAGCTTTTAATCTTTTGACATCTCTTTTCATGGTTTTGGTCTATGCACTGTATTTGGAGCCTAAAGCCACAAAGGTAAATTGCTTAATTTCTTATGCTCCTGATTACGTATTGCTTGATATCCCAGCCAAATCTGCTTCTTTCTGATACTTATATGTTGGATGTGATATTGTTGTAGGTAATGTTCGAGAGGATGAAAATGGAGAAGGAAGAAGGCAGAGGAAGAGATGACTTTGTTGCGGAGGGAAGCAGGGCCACTGAGCCACCAAGTGTTACTGATCCTGCAGCTACAAAAACCAGGGAAGCCCCCTCACCAGCACCCACCGGTTCAGAACAGGAAATGGTCAAGTCAAGAATCGTTAGCCTGAACGAGAGGCTGAAGAAGCTAAATTTCATCACTTCTTAACGTTCTTACTCTAATGGCTCTCACCTGGCATCTTGTGTACCTTGGCCAGCGCCTAAATTTCAACTGTTGATGCTATAGAGAATTTCACTGCTGTCTTGTAACATAATTGGTTGCTTAATATCAGTTCTAAGCTCTTTTTAAATATTTACATCTATTACAGTTGGGTTTTGTAACACTTATTCAGTGTGAAGTAAATGTTCTTGTATTTTTTAGTGAAATTTTCTGTTGTGAAATTTGTTGACAAATTTCTTTTTCTATTAAACTTAAATTTCACTCTTCAACCCAACTTGTTCAAATTACTGAAATGCTTGAGTTATGAGCCTAGGATAGCTGAATCATAAGACAGCAATTTCAGGACTAAATTCTGCAGGTAGCAATATGAAGGAATGCAGATAAAGGTGAAACGTAGAGAAAAAAGGATAAAGAATTTGGCAATGCTAGATAATTATTCTGAGAACACTACAAATGAAAGCAGTTTAAACTTTATTCATGTAGAGCAAAAGAGATGTTTCTTAATCAAATTAGCAAAAGTACTCTTCACATTTAATCTTATTCGAAAAAGCATGTATTCCATTCGACATTGCGGATTCAAAACTATGCTATGGCAGAGTGGGAGGGAGACTCCACCACGTCAAACTCCCATCACATCACGCTGAGCCTACACTCCCATCACACACCCTGGCAAATGAACTCCCATCACGTTGCCAAATGAACCTTAAACCTCAAGTATGCTTTACTTTTTTTTCATTTCCTACTAACATGATTAGACTTTAAACCCCTTACTCTCAATCTTATTGGTGACAAACTTAATATCGTCCTGCAATAGATGAACCAATTCTTTCAACTGTTCTAAGTTATTCAAATCACAGTTATTCTCACCTGCCATGTGTTCAGCCAAAACAAGTTCCATCTCCAGCTCTTGGTTTTTCTTTCTTTGCTTCTCCAATCTTTCATTCAACTGCAATATGCTTCGACTAAGAAAAACGTGTCGGTCCATCATATTCTTATCTCGTTTCTTTGCAGGTAAATTATTGAACTTTTCAATAACATGAAATGCCTCAATTTTGGAAGGCCAAACATCCGGTTGTGTATCACAAGAACTGAAAATTATTGCACAAGCAGCAACACCACACAAGGTTGTCAGTTCATTCAGCTTCTTCAGTAGCCCAGCCTTCCTTTTCTTTAGAGTTACTTTCCTGACAGATTCATTAGAAATCAACTCATGCTTAATCTTCTTTCTACCCATGGTTAAGAATGCAGAGAAGGAATAAATGGCACACACATTCTTCTGGAAAATTATAGATACAGAGGCATGCATGGTCATTACCATATATGGTTAAATACCATATATGGTAACATTGTAACTGAACAGCTCATGGTTTTTTATGAGCAAATTCTAAAGTAGGGACACTGGATAGTGATAAATGGAGAAACCTTTCAAACAGAAAAATTTTGAACAATACTTATGAATTTACTTGACCTAAACCATAACTGTTTCTAATTGTAATTATATGGATGAATATATGGCATGTAATTTAATAGGACAACTATGGAAAAATTTCCAACATTTATTATGCAATATGTGCACGATAAGTTCTGACCTTGATTGTCTACTCCACTGCATATACATGCTCAATGACACAAGTATAGACATGAACAAAATTTTTGTTGTATTATGTTCACAAATATTTAAGTTTTAATTTTTCTAATGCTTATAACAAGAGAATATTGATGGGCATAGTAATACTAAGAATAAGACGGGGAAAAAAAGGTAAAGAATGGAAAATATCATGACAAATTCAGTATATTTGGCAGCATTTTACAGGGAACCACCAATAACAGTATTTCTATACTACCATTATCCAACTCCATGGCTTCTTTTATTTAATGCCGATTTTAATAGGTGCATTATGAGTGGCCATAACAAGTGAAACGGAATAATATATGCTAGTGTTTAGTGTCTCACCATAAATCTTTAGCAGGTGTTCAGTAAAAGGAGGGCAATCGTCTTAGACAAGATAACTACCAGTGACATCAAAAAAGCAGATTACCTGTTATTAATCACGTTTGTTGTAGTGCATCTTGTGGTTAATGGAAAATCTTTTTTCCTTAATAAGTATAATCTCCCATTTTAGAAACTGAAAAGAAGCAGCTAAACTTTCTCAAGAAATATGTATTTCCATATAAGAGAACTAAAATGTTGAGGTTTGATGCATACCTTTTTTTCTATTCACTTTGCGTTTAAAAGTTGCTTATCTCTTTGGCAGCATTCTGTGTCCAAACAGCTTTTTCTTTTCTGTTTCTTAAATTTCAAATGATTGCTTGCAAGTTTCATATTTCAATTCCTATAACTGATTCTCCAATTCAGAGCATCATCTCTCTTCCAGATTCATTGCAAAAACTAAACTGTTTCAAGGCAGCAATCCAACAACCTAACCTCTTGCAGCTACTAGTAATCTCTACAAGAAGAATAACCTTCTAGGAAAGGACATAGAAGCTATTGGATCTCAGGGAATTATCTCTTATTTCCACCTTTGACAAGAGCTTCAATTGTTATATGACAATCAGGGCAGGCTCTTAAATATTCATCATCCTAACAGGAGCTAATTTTGTAAAGCTATAAGTCCAAATGTAATTGCTAACATCACTGAGCTCCCTTTGGGTTTTGCTTAGTTGCACTAGAAGCAATCCTTTCAGCAACAAAACCAAATTTCCTTGTCTTCTCCAAAATTTCTTCCAACCTTGATAGATTACTTGACTCATAGGGTGAGATATATCAACTACAGAAAAGAAATGAACTGTGTTTCCAACCTAAATCCAACTCAGACCAGGTTTCTTCTTAACACCTCGTTGTTGCATCAGTTCTCTCACACTTGCAGCCAATGGTTCTAAAGCAGCATCAGCATAGATGTTGCGAAGAAGAACATAGGATGCAGCCTCTTGGGGTTCAAGCTCAATTACTTTCCTTGCAGCACGTTTCCCAGTTACAGTGTCCTTATAAACCCTGCAAGAACTCAACAAGGCTCTCCAGATAACTGGATTATCCTTGAAACTTGAGGTGAGGATGAAGTTTTCTGCCTCTGCTAGCCTTCCAGCACGGCCAAAGAGGTCAACAACACAGCAATAATGCTCTACACTGGCTTCAACGTCATAATCCTTCATGCTTTCAAAGTATCTGCATTTACTCAAAAGGTAAATCATATAGTTATAATGAATAAAAGAGAAGAAATAAATAATCAGCTTGCGCAAAAGCTCATAAAGGAGAATGGCATTGACAAACAGAATACTTATGGGAGAGACAAAGCAATTCAAGAACAAATAACATAAAAGAGGAAGTTAAGACTCCAAAAGTAATGCATATATTTACAAGTTGTCCATCCTCTCCCTAAAACGAAGTGCTATTTTATATAAACTAAATCAAACCCCTAGCTTACTAAAGTTAATTTTTCATTTAGGTCCAAATGCTAACAGTTTCCCATTGCAAGTATAAGGTAGCATGTAGCTGTAGAGGTGATTTGATCTTCAAAATTTATAGATGCAAGCCAACCCAATGACCCCTCACATCCTCATGCACACACATCATATGTACAAATGCACTTAGAAATGATAGAAGGCTCCATTGACATACTGTAATCCTTCTTCGACAAGCCCTCCATAACTGCAAGCAGATAAAACTCCTGTGAATGTGATATGATTAGGCAAAATACCAAATTCCTTCATCAATCCAAAGAGATTTAAAGCACCCCTAGCACATCCATGTTGTGCGTAGCTACAGATCATCACTGACCAAGAAACCACATCTGGATTCTCTGTCTCTTGAAACGTCAGATCAGCGGAGTCCATGTCACCGCACTTTGCATACATGCAAATCTGTGAATTTTGAACAATTCTGAAGTTCCCAAGGCCACTTTTAATGGCATGCCCATGAACCAGCTCACCCAATCTTGCTGTTGCTAAATCTGCACAAGCACTCAACACGTTTGAGGTAACGAACTCATCTGGTCTTCCTCCAGATGCCAGCAGTTTGTAAAACAGATACAATGCACTTTCAAATTGTCCATTCTGAACATAGCCAGCAATCATGGATGTCCACAAGACAATATCTTGCATCGGAGTTGATCTAAAACATTTCAAACCATCTTCAGTTGATCTCATCAAGGAATACAGTTCAATAAGTGCACTTCCAATGAACTCATCAGACTGCAAGTTATATTTGCATACTTGAGCATGAATTTGCTTGCCATAGACAAAATCTTCAACTGCATTACAAGCTTTGAGCATGCTTGAGAATGTAAATTTTGAGGGCTTCAAACCTTGCGTCTGTATTTCAAAGAAAAGGCCACAAGCTTCATTTGCACATTCCTTGCTAATGTTTTCTGCATCAGTAAATCCAGATATCATGGCATTATACATGACAATATTGCGGTTAGGCATGATTTTAAAAATTTTGATTGCATTATTTAGTTCTCCCTTTTTTGCATACATATCAAGCAATGCTGTCCCAACAAAAATATCGACATCCAACCCAAGTTTCATTAGACATCCATGAAGCATTTCCCCATACATTATCCCTATATCTGTGTTTGTACAACAAGCCTTTAAGACACTTCCCATGGTATAAGTATTCAAGTTCAAGCCATTTCGATGCATGCTTATTAATAGTTTCAACATCTCTTCCTTTTTATTCATACGAACATAACCTGCAATCAATGTATTCCACGAAACCGCATCTAACTCCTTAGAATTCTCAAACAAAAACCTTGCCTGATCAGCACGTTCACATTTGAAATACATATCGATTAATGAGTTAGTCAAATATGCTTTCTCAACCAATCCACGTACTACAATCAAGCCATGAATTAACTTCCCTAGTTTGAGATCCCCATTTTGAGCACACACATGTATAGCACCAGCATAAGTGAATTTATCAAGTTTTAGACATGCTTTTCTAGCTTCAACAAACACTTGCATGGCTTTATCAAAAGCACCCATCTGGTTATATCCAGAAATCAAAGAATTATATGAAACGAGATTTGGCTTGGACATTTTGTCAAACAGTCGGTGAGCGACATCCATTTCACCAGCTTTGGAGTACATATTTAAAAGATTGTTTAGCAAAAAAAGGCATGGCTTGAAAGCAGATTTGATGATTTGGGTATGGGCAAGTTTGCCGTGGAGCATACAACCAGATTTGGTGGAGTTTTGGACGAGTTTTGTATAGGTAACAGAGTCGAAAGATTGATGGGAGTAAAATCTTTCATAAAATGGGCTGAAAATAAAGAACTTTGGTAAGCCAGGGAGCTTCGTTTTCTCAAGAAGCATGGTTGTTAAATGTTCAAGTTGCCCTTAAAAGACAGAGGCCAAATCGCTAAGTAACACAGCATGTTCTTTTACACGACTAAGTTGTCGGATAAGAGTTGAGACATAAGTTAACGGCCAGCGTGATAAACTGTAAAACTGACATCGATAAAAGATTCTCGAGACTTTGACTGGAGGTGTCAGCGGCCGGGCAACGCTCATGCTTGCGGATTCATTCCGATTAGTTGCGAATTAAATTGGATTGATTCAATTAAATTATTATATTAATAATAAGTTTAATTAATTTTAAAATATATTTAAAAATAAAATACATGCACCCTTATTAAAAGTGGCAAAACGAGCCAAATGAGATGGCACCACACGAACTTATATTTGGTACGATATCGTAATTGGTCGAATTGGTTCAATATAAAAAAATATAGATCGTGTTATGCACATTTTTTATTAAAAAACTCTCACTCCAATATTGTCTATAACCCGATAATAATGAGTCTTATTATGTTAGCTCATGGGTCATCAAATAATTTTTTAATTTTTTTACATTAATTTTTTAAAAGGTTGAGTTTTTTCTTTTATATATATATATATATATTATTTTAGTGACATTATGAAAAAATTGGAGACATGATTTATATGATTTATTTTAAAATGCTTATGTTCATGAAAAAAAAAGTTTTTTACTATAAATAAATAAATTTTACAAGTTTTTCTTCAAATGATATAAATTATTATTATTTTTTAATGATAGAATTTTTTTTTTTTGAGTGATATGTGACATCCAATCAATTGATCTTTATAAGTTTTTCTTTTTAAAAAAACTAATCAATCCCTTTAAATGTGGATTGATTATTTTATCTTATCATAACAAAATAGAACATTTTATTAGAAAATGAATAGATCTTTTTAAAGAATTAATTGATCATATTGTTTTTTGACAAAGTATCGGTCATGTCATGCTAGGTGTTACGGTCCACACCAACTTATGAGGTATTATCTGTTTAGACCCATTAGACCTTACGATTTTATCCCATAAAAAGCGTCTCATAAGTTGAAAGTGATGTAAACATTTATATCCCAAGACTAATTTTAGTACACAATTAATGTGACATTTTTCCCACTCCAACGAGGGTCTATTGACATCTTCCCTTCCCCAATCCAATGAAAGCACACTGTTCTTGATACGCATATCGCTAATTTTACATCATTAGTATTTTAGAATCAGCTCTGATATCAAATGTCATGATTTACACTAACTTCTGAGATATTATCTGTTTCGGCCCATTAAGCTTTAATATTTTATCTCACAAAAAATACCTCACAAGTTAAAGGTGATGTTAACACTTACATCCAAAGATCAACTCTAGTACATAGTCGATATAGGATTCGTGACTCTTCACTAAGACCATGACATTGGGCCTGTGTTATGGGCCAACCTTGGCCAATCATGAGCTCGTGTCTTGTCAACCCGTGGGCCTTAAAATACTTAGCCCAGCACGACATAACTAAGAGAGTTAAGCCTGGCTCGACATGATTATTATAATAAAATAAGTCATGTTAGCATAACCCATTATGGGTTAGGCCATGTTGTGTTAAGGGTCGCCCACCTGTTTTACTACCTTTAATCTTTACTATTAATTTTACAAATATACGATCCATTTTCCCTTCTCCATATTATGCCACGTGGCTTTAACTCAACTCTTTTTTTTTTACTTTTTTTTAATTTAATTTTTTAAAATTTTTATATGTTTGATGAGAATAAAAAGATGAATTAATGTTTGTCATCGGATATAAGATATAATTCACATTGCATTACACAAAATTTGATATATAGTGACGTTTAAAAAAACATCAGTAAAATGTCAAAATCCTTAGTATAGCACCATAAACCCTACATGGACGGTCAAAATGTGTATTCTGATAAATTTTTAATCTTCAGTATATCTTTTGTCGGTATAGACCTATACTAACGATTTTTAAGGTATTAAAATAGCTTACAGAGATATACCAACGGTTCAAGACCATCAGTAAATGAATATCTATTGGTATAACATCTGTTGTGTGTTCCACCATTTATACCTTTTAGTCACGGTTAACACTCGTCAGTATAGACTTGTATGTTTTAATTTTTCTTGCCTATACAAACAGTTAATGGTCGTCAGTATAGACTTTCCTATATTGACGCTTAAAGCTTGTCAGTATAGATTTGTATGTTTTAATTTTCTCACCTATACCGATGGCTAGTGCTTGTCAATATAGATTTACATGTTTTAATTTTTTTTATTTATAATGACGGTTAACGTCTTTCAGTATAGACTTGTAATTTTTCTTACCTATATTGACGCTTAGCATCTGTCAGTATAGAATTGTATGCTTTAATTTTCTTACATTTATCGACGATTAGAGATTATCAGTATAGACTTATATGTTTTAATTTTTTTATTATATTTTAGTGACTGTTAATATCACCTGAAATATTCCAATGATCAATTGTATCAGTATAAATGTTAAGACATTGGTAAATTTATTTTTAATCATAATATAATATGTTTTCATATAAACAAAAAAAAAACTCAATAAAGTAAAATATATTTAATAACATTAAAACTACAATTACATTATTTATAATTCACAAACTTACTATAAGTGAAAAACCAAAGTCATTGTACCAAGTTTGACAAAATAAATATCGATAAAACAAACATAGATAAAGAGTTACACCACCTCACCCTAAAAAATACAATCATAAGTTTGCACCACCAGACATCTAAAGACTTTTTGATCACTTTAAAACTTCAATAGAACTTTGAACAAGATAATCTTAAAAAATCTGTAAATAAACAAACAATTGCAAAACCACTTCAATAAGAAAAAACATACATGCACCTATTACAAGCCCTTTCCAAAACCAAAATATTTTAATTCATACAAAATATCACAAGTTTTACAAAAGTCAACAAGTGTAACTACATCATATAACTAACAAGCTCAATGAACCCAACTCTTTAACAGTATTCAATATACCAATCAAGCATCACAAAACACAACAGCCTTATTTCAACAAAGTACATAACATCCAAAACAAAACTAAATCCCCCTACAAAATGCTCCGAGTAAATAAACAACTTCCTAAAATAGATGATCCCATCATAGATTTCTACAAAGAAGCATCTGCATAGCATAAAAAAATCCAATTAGAATTCTTGTAAATTATCATATATATACAGAAGGTAAAAAAGTAATCATCCATTCATATACCAGTAGAAATAATTTTATAAACATCTTATTCATTCATATATACAGAAGGAAATTATCCATTTATATACCAGTAAAAATAATTTTATAAGCATCCTATTCATTAGTGTAATGCATGAATGAACAAGAAATAACCTAATTTGCATGTGTAATCTCTTTATTCTTTTAGTTTAATTCCAAATAATAACTTAATGAAACCAACCTAAGATTATTTTAGTCATAGAAGTATCATTAAACAAATATTGTTACTATAACATTCAAGTTTACGACTACAAAGGATGCTTACATCATAAGGAAGCCTTTTTAAAGGAAAAAAAAAAAAAGGCAAAAAAACCTTCTCAAGGGAAAAAGAGCAAGCTTTAAATCATAGTATAATTTAATGATTATGGTAAAGACAATGGGTAATGTTTCAAGGTCACAATTACATGATTCAAAACCTAGATTCAAAATTGATTTTGGCATTCTATCTAAGAAACAAGTATCAAGCAATGCATTTTTACATATATATAATGTGATGACGAGTTTACTGTTTTCATTTTCATTAGGTTGATGACTTGAATTTGAAGAATGATGGTTTTCATGTGGGATTTTTAAAGCACTACTAGCATCAGGAACCTAAAATTAATTTAAAAGAAATTTCAATAAAGTTCAAGATTCATGAGCAAGATGACAATTTACATATATATAAACTAAAATAGATGTTATGTTACAAGAAAATGAAAGATTAGTGGTTGTTTTGTAGCTGTGTTTCATTTATAAACACCGGTAGCTTTCGTGTTTTTATAAAACTTAAGATGTTTTTTTTCAAAATGCCACTAAATATTTAAATAATAGTGTTTGTACTTATAAATGTCACTAAAGACAAAAATTAGCAGCATTTATCAACTAAAATGCCTTGAATAATCCTGTCTAAAAAATTAGAATGATGATTAAAGGTATTTTTGGTAAAAAATACCTTAAATAATCCCTTCATAAAAATAGATAGGGGATTGTTGAAGGCATTTTTGGTAGACAATGCCTTGAGTAATCCCCTCATAAAAAATATGGATGATTATTGAAGGTGTTTTTTTGCCAAAAACACATTCAATAATTCTCTAAAAAAATTAGAAAGGATTATTGAAGGTGTTTTTGGTTAAAAACACCTTCAATAAACATCCTGTCAAAATTTAAGGGGGGTGGCCTCAAATTATCTCTGTATTGAAATTGGAGTAGCTTTATTGGTTAGATTATACAGTTGTTAACCATAAGATCATAGGCTTGATCCCTCATTTTAGCATTTTTTAGGTTTTTGAAGGGATTATTTGTAAGGGATTATTCAATGCTTTTTCTAGCAAAAAACGTCTTCAATAATCCATTCAAAAAATTTTGAAAAGAGATTATTGAAGATATTTTTGGTTAAAAACGCCTTCAATAATCAATATAAAAAATTTTAGAAGAGATTGTTGAAGGCATTTTTAGCTAGAAATGCCTTCAATAACCCCATTCAACATTTTGTAAGGGATTATTCAAGGCATTCTTTGGCTAAAAATACCTTCAGTAATCCCATAAAAAATAGTTTAATTATATATGTGATGTCAGTTGTAGGTTTATGCTAAGAAAATATTTAAAGTTAGTTATAGGTTTGTGCCCAAAAAATATTTGGTTTATATATGTGATACTATAAATTATATTTTGAAATTTATATTACAAACATTGTAGATTGACCACAAATCCAAATTTAAAATTGATAATGTTGTCATATAAATATACTTTTCTCAAATAATCATACTTAATATATGTGTATTCATATAAGCTGCCAATTGATATAAAATAAATATATACCAATAATATTAAACCAATAGCCCAATCTAGAGACTTAAATTATCCATTCAACATGGCATATTAAATACATTATAACAAATGAAATGCATATATTTACACCCGACCTACAATCTCCAACCTCAAGGTTTAGAAAACGATAACACATACTCACCACTTTTTACGGACTTTATCAAGTTTG